TCGAGAGATTTGAATCGTTCCACCGACTTTTATCAAATAGTTTGTGTGTATCTTACACTTACGCTCGAATAAAAATAAATATCTCCGATTGTGTCCTAGAAAAGTCGTCGCAAGCTATGTATAATAATATACACAATCATATGTATACTTATTTAGTTAGATTATTAAGTACTCTTATCGTACACCTCTCCGTGTTCCCGGTTCCGACTGTGTACATGTGTGTATGCGTGTGTGAACAGCATACACACTTTGCTATTCTTCTTTTGCTATTCCTTGTAAATTAGAATTTTAATCGCATTCCAACGCATCGCGAGATCTCCCACTCGGTGCACTCGTGATAAGCATCGTCGCTCCTTGTCCGAGTTTCACATACCGATGCTCAAGAATCCTTAAGCTAAGATCGGTGTACTCGAGTATGCATAGAAATGGATATATTTTACATCGTCGTTTACGCCATCCAACTTTAAAGTTTCTCTACGTTTCACGATTAAAAGAGAGATCTCGCCTATCGGAAAGACTGCGACGTTCTTCGAATTCTTCACAGAGAAGGTGAGATCTCTCCGGTCACTTTTCTTCCTTCTTCGAGTTGAAAGAAGAAAATCTGAAAGAAGAGACTCTGTGGACCGCGATGGGACCTCTCGCGATGTTCATTCATTCCTACGCGTCATCTTATCAGGAATTAAAGGATAATTAGTACACGATTGGACCAATCAGAAAATCTGGTCGGTCAGTATGGTTACAGATTCCCTTCTAATAGCTTTTTATCGATTTAATTCTAATGGCTCTGTTATACAATTAGCTACTTTACTCTATCGCTTTCAAATATGACCTATTTGAAGAAATATATTAGAATTTACATAGTTTCACTTATCTAACTGAGAAAACCGTTTTCCTCGCTCTTTCTTACATATACATATATATAATATTTATACAGATTAATCTTTTTATAAATGTTAATACATGTATGATATATTCTCCGTTAAATTTGGAATAAATTTTTCTTGGTGAAAAATAACAATAAAAGACTTTTATCTTTCCTCTAATCTTTTCTCCCTATGTGCGTCAGATAAATGAAAGTGAGAAAAGTGAATGTATGTGCAGTGTATTATACTATTCTACTTTTATATATTACTTAAGCCTTTCTGAGAGAGTCTTTTAAGAGCGATGAACAACGCTGGTCCCGTCGCGATCGCGAACAACAATGGTGCGCGATCTTCGTTGGAAAGAGAGAGATAAGAAGAGATTGCGGATTATATCGATGGTTCGCACGTATTATCAGTCGCAGAGATCGATCGGCACGGGGAAACCCGACCGTTGTCTTGGGGTCGAAGACGAAGCTGTTTGTAAAAGGTCAATGAAGTGGAGGAATATTACATTGGCAGTGTTATAGTATACAACAAACACGACAGACAGAAAATCGAAACCGGGATATACTTGAGAGTTTTATCCTCCGAGGGAGACTCGCAACAGTGATAATTTCCAGCTGGTGTAGAATTGAAAGGGCTCGACTTTCAACGACTGTTTGTTTGAGAGTTTTATTTTTCCAAAAAGTCTCAATGGAGATCTGTTTGAAAATTTTACTCTCCGAAAGCGATCTCCCCTCGATAATAAATTTCTCAAGTGTAAGAATGGGATGAAAAAACAAACACATGTATGAGCGCCGATGATGAGACGGGGAGGAGTTCGTCGTCTTATTTAAAATCAATACTAATTAAAATCAACATCTGATACTCATATTGATATCATGAATTCAACCGATATGTAGTAACAACATTTCCACTTTTCATCAACGCAAAAATTTATTCTAGATAAACATATTTTCAATCTTTTGCGTTTCAACTTCGATCCTTTCGTTGTCGAAAATACTAAAGAATATAGGAAGAACAAAAAAATTCTCTTTTAGATCTAAATTTAATAATAATTTTGATAATTACCAAAATTATAATAAATTACATGTATGTAATTGTAGGCAACAAAAAATTAAAACAATTACAAGTATGCTCAGCAACGAAAGAATCAAGGATGCTCACTCATTTGTACAAATTATAGGATAAAAAATATTTCGCAATATAATATATTCAATAAAATATATTTTAATAAAATATGTTCTTAATATTTTTTGGCGCTCATAAGAGAAGAGTTACAATTACTCTTAAACGAGATTACTTCTCACGCTATCCAAGTACAAAAGCTGGTCGTATCAAAAAGTAAATTCGGCAACAAATAATAATCAGATATACATTACCGTTGACAAAAAAATCATTTCTCACAAACGTGGCCAATAATTATAAATTTATTTCTAATTGTTATATAATAATTGATTGATTACGTCGAGTGCTATCTAGTCCTCTACGTGCGCGATAACGATTTTATTCATATCTATAGAGCTTTCTTTGGTACGAAAAATATATTTGAGATAGAATGCGCATTTATCGCTTAAAAGGGAGCGATTCTAATTTATAATATATGTATATGTCTCTCTCTCTCTCTCGACCACGTCTTTATATAAATCAATATTTTAAATATAAAGACAAGAAATTATATGAGTATTAAACGTCATAATAAAATGCATCATATTTGCGCTAATCCAAGTAATAACAAATCATCGTTTATTATTCGTTTGCTCAAGTATGCATTAATTATATAAATATAAAGTATATATACATACATACATATACATACATACATATATATATAATTCAAAAATATATATATAATATGTGTGTATGTATGTATGTATGTATGTATGTATGTACGTAATACATACATCACACAGCACAGTAAAAAAAAAGCTTAATTATTGTAACACAATTTAACATATTTATAGGAAAAATATAATATGCATGTTTATGAATCTTACGACACTTCCTTGTCTGTATCAAGCTATGAAAGTTTCAATGAAAAAAAAAAAGAAAAAAAAAATCATTCCAGTTCCTTAATATAAACACGTTTCACAGATAAATCGAGGTGCGCCCTGAAACTTTCTTTATGTACTGCCGTTACCTTGCGTTAATAATATATACAAAATTCATGAAATTTCCGCGTTTATATTTTTTAGCATTTAAAATAGCGACAAGTAAAAATACATATTTACTATAGAAAATGGAAGTATGCAGTAATTATTACTAATTTAATTCACTTTTCGATACAAGTATAAAAGAATGCAAATAATATAATAAAGGCTTAAAGTTCTTAAAAAAAGTTAAAATGTACGAATCTCGTAAACATATTAGTTAAATGCTCAAAAAGACAGTCATGCAACCAACGTGCAGAATAATTAGCACCGTTACTTGCTCCATGAAACACAAATGAGTTTTCAAATGAGATTCTTATTATAATAATCATGTTAAATTCTTTTTTTTCATTTACTACGCTAAAACTTTGAAAAACATGACCGATAAATTAGTAAAAATGTTTAATTAAATTATGCCGTTAACTGGTATCAATCTCGGATCCTGCAAATTCGGTCATGCGACAAAGTCGGAATTACAGTCATAGTGAATAGAGGTAACGAATAATAGTCTGTTCGTCCGATCTCAGCTGATCAAAGTTTGTTTGAATAAATGATTTATATTTATATCAAAAAAAGAAATGCTAATTTGGCACAATATTCTAATGCAAAATGCACACAGGATTAGATATACGGTTTGTACCTTTCCTAAATCTGCACCGGTTGCAATTGTTAGCTCTACTCACTTCGATTGATTTAGAATATGAATTTTATACACGTTCGCTATAAATGGATGCATGAATAGTGAATTCTTTGACGTATTCATCAATTCTTTCATCTATCTACGTCTTTTCATCTTCACTATTAACAATCCGTAACTTCGTTCAAATCCAACAAAATACAGCCTATTTACAGCTTATGTCGAAGTGTTGTACTTCTTTGAATTTAATGACTTCAGTATATAGTATTAATGAATGCTTTTAATAATTCTCTTATAGCATTTATAAAGTTTTGCCCATTGCACTGTAAAAATTATGCCAAGAAAACAATAAAAGTATAAACTTTTATAAAATTATATTAAATTTTTTCAAGTTCAAATAACATTTTATTTTTAAATTTCCTAATTTCAAGATATTATGTGGCATTTTCTCAGATTCATATAATTAAATCTGCGTTCTAAATTATGAATAAATAATTTTCTAAAACAGATGCAATGGATAAAAGTTTTTCAAATATGCACGAGGCCTGTTTATCCATATGATCGACATATCGTAACTTCTTCGACAAAAATGATCGTCTATTTATCATCTATATTTATATATATGTATATGTGTGTATATGTATATATATATATATATATATATATATATATATATATATATGTATATGTATATGTGTATATGTATATATATATACATATACACAACACTGTACATCATCAATAGAGATCCTTAAAAGGAACTCGAACGTTAGCCGAGTGTTCAATGAACGTTCCTCTCGGCGCATGAAAATATTTCATGCAGTAGTCAAGTAAAAAGAAAATGTTTCTTACCGTGATTAGCGGACGTAGCCGATCAGAGCATCCACTTGCTCGTCGGCCAAAGGCGTTTCCTTCTACTCGATAAGGAAAGTCGCGCGTATATCTATATCTAGTATTACACGTTTAGTTAATTTCTCGGATAAAATTATCGAATTATTCGATTCACCGATCAATTGCGTGTCGACGAGTAAAATTTTCGCGTGTTTCCCGTCTTGATCTCGGCACAATTATCGTTCGTACTTTCTGTTCACTTCATCAAAGTTCGAAGATAAAAGTCCTGCCGTTAATTAAGCGCGGGCAAGATCACAGAAATAACTCTAAGGCTTATCATAGTCACGCTCCATCGTATCATATCTTGTCTGTTTACCGCTAAATGCAAGTGGAGTCCGGATGTTGACTGGCAGATTTTCTCGTCTTTTTCGGCTCCTTCGTCGTTAATTCCTGAGATGGTCTGCGCGGGCTGCCCAGCGTCACCAAAGCGGACGCTACGGCTAGACCAGCGCTCTGTCCGGCTGGCGTATAAGATTCGCCGCCAGTCGGCAATCTGACTAGCAGAGACAAAACTGCCGCTCTGTTACCACAACAAGGCTCCAATGCAATTGGACTGGGAGCATCCTGCGAGAAAAAACAAATCCAATAAGGAATTATAGATATTATTTGAATTATAAAATTGCAAGATATAAAAATTCATATAATAATGATAGAAATAAAATATCTAAAGTTCTTGAGAAAAATATATAAAAATCTTCTCTAAAACAATTCATTTTTTCTGTACAACAGAATCAATACATGTATATTTAACTACAAATAAAAATAAATAGTTATATAAATATTTTTTTAAGATTATAAGATTCATTAAAAAAGTACAATATTTAAGAAATATTTAATTCATGATTACCTTCTTTTTTACGACAATTGGTAAAATCGGCATCACCGCGTTCTGGATCTGAGCTATCCACGTCGCGCCTCTCAATCTCTACCAGAACCTGACTAAAAGCTCTACTAGCCATTTGCTCCATCTCCAGGAAAAGCCGTTGTCTTCGTCGATACATATCGTATTTTTGCTTGATCTTCCAGAGAATGGCAGCCACTAGTAGCAGAGCGAGGAAGCACCTATGCGGTGGCATGTAATCTCTAGTTTACAAGTAAGTACTGCCTGAGGTTCAACATGCGGCAAAGAGACTATGTAAAATTTGGAAAAATAAAGCGTACAGCCAATGTTGTCTCTCAAGATTATCCTTTAGACATCGCGGTTATAGATTTAACGTAATTTTAATTCGCTTTATTTTGAGTTAAAAACCATTCCAAAGTCTAAGTTATGATACTCACGTGCAGAACGTAATGAAAAATTGTTGTAGATTCAGTTTGGAGTATTGAGAAAACGAAATCTGAATCCACAGAGGTGGTTGAAAGTCATAGACATACACGTAGAACGTAGTGAGAGTATTGTTGTCTTCACTACCGAAGTTATAGTCTGCCTTGCTAAAACGGTGTTTATACATAGTTGTTGTACAGTTTGCACCGAGTAGCAATGGCTTTTCTGGACTATTTACTTTCTTGATAGTCACATTCATCTTCGCAAGTACAGAACATGTAATGGAAAACTCGGCGTCAATGTCGGCTTTCGGTGGCGAATTCTTAAAATTAATTGCTCGATAATGGCGATCTTCCTTCTTGCTTAGATTAAATGTAAACTGATAGTCGATAGCCAAATCATCTAAAAAATGCAAATATACAATTATAATACAAAATTATTGCAAGCTAAGATAAAAAAGCATATTGCAGTTAACTCACAAAAACAAGATCCTTTATTCGTGGGATCTCCATGATAGAGACCAGATACATCACAACGTTCGCAGTGGTCGCCAATAATGCCTTTAGTTGTACAGAAACATTTACCCGTCTCGCTCGTACATTGAGTACCTTGATTGTTGCAGGAGCAAGCTGTAATAAGAACATAAGTATCATTCAAATGTCTCACCATTCGTGACAGTTGCAAATGATAATGACATTGCGTGTTGCAAAAAAAAAAAGAATTACGTACGCTGACATGTAGCTCCGTTGAGTGGACTACCGTAATAACCGGGGATACACTTATCGCAGTGTGGTCCATAAGTCAAGTTTCCGCACGGCTGAATACATACGTTACTATTTGGAAGACACTTGCTGTGACCGTTGCACTGACAAGCTATGAAATAATCAAGAAAAATGGATTAATGGATTAATATGATTAAAATGTGCAAAAAAAGCAAGATTCAATATAAAAAAATTCACTTACTTGGACATTTCGTGAAGTACCAATGATCGAACGAACATGTATTTAAGCTCTTACTGCTGGGACCACGAGCTCCACCAGGCATGCACGAACCTTTCCCAGTGCCTGATCCATCATCGCACCAGCCGCATCCAGGATCCGATCGACAAGCGGCGCATGATGCATAAAAGCTGCACCATTCTCTACCAGTTTCTGTAGCCCGGCACCGTGCATCTATCGTCGTCCATTCGCGGCACTGTCCATATGGAAAACTGGCCGGGTACGCATTCTTGTCTACGCACTTAGCTTCGTTTTGACACCAAATACAGTCGGATTCCGTGCAATTTCGACACGTTGTATATTCCACACACGGACTACGACACGTGTCCATTGTTAAACGTTGCGCCTGGATCGTGCCATTCAGTACACTCACCTATTTCATAAATTCGTAAAATTATTATTTATTTAAATCATCATTTATTTAAGCATTAATTACTTTATCAGCTAGGATTATAACAAAAATTAATATTAAATACATCTTTGTTAAAATTCATTAGAATATATAGTTGTAATTAATAAAATGTTCTAGAAAAATAATTAAAAATATTTGGATATTTTGTCGTTTCATTATCTGATTAGTAAAATGTCGGAATGTACACGCACCTCCCGAGTTTTTGACTGCGGTTTACAACGGTCAGGCCCGTTGGACCATGACCAAATGCAACGCGAATTACTGGAGCACGCATGACATGTGTGTAATTGTAGACATTCAATACCAGTATTTGCGTCACATTGTTCCAGTTCTGTGATCGGCCTAGAGTTCGGCGAATTTGGATGGTCCCGGCATTTTTCATGCAAGCAACTCTTGCCACACCATACGCAATTATACGAAGTCTGCACGCACGCGACGCAATCTGTAAAGAGTTTACAGAGTTCTTCATGTGACGTCATACCGCGGGGCGGCGTATCGTCCAGACATCTCATATAAGTGCCGTCGTGTTCGTCATATTCCTTGTGGTTGAGCACATGCTGCGGTATTTTCGTGATTTGTAAGCATAGATTGTCCCGCTTGTGCCACATGCACTTCACGCCTATCCTTGCATTCAGGCACTGATTCTGATTCGTTAAATGCTCGCAGTTGCCGGGAGTATACCTATGCAAAAACAATATTACAACATCCGCATATAAATAAATATTTTGTTCGTTAACACAAGATATATTAGATTGGATCGTACCTCAACATATCAGAGAGCATTTCACCAACAAAGCCACCATAGATATACATCGACTTCTCGAAGACGGTCGCGCTGTGACCGTATCGCGGAAGATCGCTCATATCTGGAGGTATAGTATACTGATGCCATGTATCGCATGTAACATCGTAACCGAGGATATCGGCCGAATAACATCGTGCACCGTGTGATTGTTGCGTGTCATTATGCATATTACCGCCAAATACTAGCATCAGTCCGCCCGAGATAAAGGTAGCCGTGTGAAAGAAACGCGCTGACGGCGCTGATGTCAGCAGTCGCCATTCGCGATAATGAGGATGATATGAGTACAGCCGGCTCGTTAAAACGTGCGTGCTCTGCGACTCCGATACGTAGCCGCCGTATACGTAAATGAGATTCGTGAGGGGATCGTAGGCGGAACTATGTCCATAACCTCCCTTCACTGGGAAGCCAATTGTCTTGACGATCTGCCATTCGCGCGTACTCATAGAGTACTCCTGGACGGTGTTTAAGTAACCATATTGCGGCGAATAACCAAATATCACAACCATCTTCTCCTTCTTATTGTGAATCTGCACCAAGGTCGCGGTGTGCCCGGCTACCTGTAAAAACAATTCGTTAAACAATCGAGTTAATGCGAGATTCCACTAGATGATAAGTAAGCCATATATTGAACCTGTTTGGAAAGCTTCCAGCAAAGTAGATTATGATTGTTAAATTAAAATCATATACTGATTATAATAAACAATTACTTGATAGTCTTGTAAAAATTCAAATATGCCTCTTAATAAACGTAACATCATACTTTTTGGATCAAATAGATAATGCGCACCTTTAATGGACCACATATCGTCTTGTTGTGGCAATTATCATGTACGGTGACGTTCTCCCAGACTTTGGCAGACACGTCGAATGCCCAGATCTCATTGGTTACGGTAGAGTTCTGCACGACGCCACCGTACATGAATATCTTGTCACCGAACAGCACGCACGAGTGCGCGTACCGTGGTAACGGCACTCGGCCCTCGACGTGAGGTGTCTCCCAAACATTGCCGTTATAATCATACACGTATATCATCTTGGCACGATGGAAACTCTCACCGCCGACCACGTATAGCGAATCTTTCCAAACGATGGAACAGTGACTGGCCGAACCTTCCGGCGGTAGATCTTTGTACGTGACACTTTCCCAAAATCCACGTTCGCTCTTCTGGCTACAATCTGCACCTGCAAAGATCGCACGTGAATAAAATATTGTTTTACTTTACTTTTTTTATTTAAATATAGTATATTTATTTCGACTTTGTGTATTTTATTCTAATATATTCAAACTAATGTATTTCGGCAGAAATAGTTTGTAGAATGTCATCATTAATTTATCCATTTTCTTAGATCGCAAATATACTTTATTTGCCTTGGGAGATATATTAAACAAGCGTGTACCACGTAATGATCGTTATATTAATGCTGATTACGCTACTATAATTACGACAGCTATGGATATATAGGATAGTAACATTAAACTCGAATATCGGATATCTATTGATCGCATGACACTAAATACTATTACATTAGCATGCTATTATCCTAGATTGAATTTCTGAAAGACATATCATGCCAAACTTGATAAATTTATTAAGTTTTATAAAATTATTATTAAAATCAAAATATATCAAAATATATTCTAATTTCATCTATAAATGCATTAATTCATTATATATCTTCATTATACATCTTCATGATCAATTTTATTCAAAGATCAAAAAATATCATACTTTTATTTTTGATTAACTTTATTTTTAGATATGTATAAAGATATGTATAATTTTCGGGTGTTTTAATATTAATTGTAATTGAATCGTCATATTTCCTTTATTTATCTTTTTACCTTTATAGCCGGGAATACAGCGGCAGTGATGACTCTCGCGATCACACTCGCCCTGGCTATGATGATACGAGCAATTATTCGGGCATACCTGCACGTCGCAAGCCTCACCGGTCCATGTGGCATCACAGGTACACGTGCCTTCGATACACACGCCGTGTCCAGAGCAGTCAATATCGGAAGATCTGCAACAGATGTATGTATATATACGAGATATCACTGAATCAATCTTGACTTCGAGTAGCACGATGCTATTGTAATGATGTAACATCGTTAAGTAAATACGAACATTCATGTGCTATTTACCCAATTGTACAATCAACGTTTGTATCAATATCTTCCTACGGAAAAAAACTCTATTGATCAATATTTGAATGTTGCAAGATAGAAATGTAAACAATTCTGAAAAAGCATGAATAATGAATCGTTCGTGACGAACCTTTTCATGAAAATAATACCGAGTCAAAAATTCGAGTTTTCCAGAAAAGGACATTACTCTCGTCCAGCACGTATGAAGTTTAGAGTTGAACCAATAAAATACTAACTTGTATCTCAAAAATGTCCAGATGTATAAATATGTCTTCCGGATATATAAAGGATCAAGTGATTTTCCTTTTGTCACAGTCCATCTTCTAACTGTGGATAATGTTATCAAATATGACGCAGATATGATTACGCGTAAATATTATTTCTGGCTCGTAGAGGAAGCTCGATAAAGTCGACTTCCTAAGCCGACAGCGACCCAACTATGAGTTATCGGCGATTGTCACTCTCGTGTAATCTCTTCTTTCTATTTCGCATCTCCCAGACTGATCGCTACCTTTCTTTCTCAATAAACGTGGCCGTCGTGACATAACTCATTCGATTCTGGTAAGATACCGCTACAAATCGCGCGCATAACTCGTGGATGATGCTTCTACTCGCTAAAAGCCACAGCACAATAGTTGCGAGCGTTTTAGGGTCGATCGGCGTGTTACGGTCTATCAACTTGTACCATAATCTTACGGACAACTTCGTAAAACGACATGCTCCACTTTTTCTCTATCTTAAGAACCATCTCGCCAAGCGAAGTATCAACTGTGCATAACCACGCTATAGTTATCAGTATTTTCAATACACTGATTTAATATAGAATATAAATTTTTACACAATAATTATTAATAAGAGGACGCACTGATAATTGCGTCTAATTAACCCTTTGATTCCCCTCAATATATTTTTATGTATCAATATATCTTTAGTTTCTAAAATTCCTATTTATTTAATATAAAACGTTTAGCGAGAAATCTTTTTATGATATATCCAACGACAGAAAAAGTACAAATTTGTTAAGAAATGAACGATAGACGGGAGGGCTGAGGAGACGGAAGGGATTGATCGTTAGGGAGACCGCAGCTGGCGGCACGCTCACCTGCTCGGACAAGCGTTGATTTTATACGTAATGTTGAAGCCGCTCATGTTGTACGCGACATCGGAATAAAAGTGCAGCAACGCGCTACCGGATCGCGCTATTACTTCCGGCACGCGGCGTATGTGATACTTGTCCTTGTGCATCAGGCCGGAGAAGACGGCCAGCAACGGCGCCTCGACGCTATCACCGTCGTAAATGTACAGATGGTCCCAGCCGCATTCCGTCGCGAATTGCTCCACGTGCATCCGTATCTTCGTGTTCGGACTGCTCTCGATCAGCCAGGAGCACTTCACGTCTGCTGTGTAGTTCCCCAAGCCGTCATAGATGGTCCCGTTCATCCCCGATAACCTAGCCGGAGGAAACGAGAAACGATTAGAGGCCATAATCTCGACACTTCTTCGATCTTAGGTTTTACTATAAATTTCACTATAAATTATTTTATCGTTTGGCGAAGCACGAGTGGGTCTGCTTCAGTTTTTGATGACGTTTGACTGACGCATTGTGATAAATTAGCATCTTATCGATGAGAAACAATGAATACAGGGATGTTCACGGGAGGAATAAAAGGAAACGCTGTGTCACGAAATAACCAGCGTTTTTATAACGCTATAATGAAAAATATAAAAAGAGTATGTTAAGATAAAATAGTAATGTAGTATGTGAATATACGTGTCGTTTACATCAAAATGAAAAATGATTATAATAGATAATTATAATAGAATGCAAAAGGGATATACGATATCTGTAGACTTTAACGATGCGTTAACGTTAGAGTTAAAAATAACTCCTGTTGTAAATAAGTTACAAATGTAAGCAAAGAAAAGTTGTATCTCATAAAACACGAGTGCAAAGTTCAACGTTGAAGTGATGCGATTAGGATCGATTGACGCATAAGTAAAAAAAAAAAAAAAAAAAAAAAAAAAAAAAAAAAAAAAAAAAAAAAAAAAAAAAAAAAAAAAAAGGAAAAAAACCAAGAAAAATATATTCCAAGTATAAATTATTATATTTCAATTCTTTTCTTCGCCCTCCCCTCTCCTTCCCCTCTCTTTCCTCGCCGACAGCGTGCAACAAAATTAAAATTAATTCAATATTGTGTTTGTAAACGTGCTTGAATAATAGAGCATAATCCGAATAATCCAAATGGTAATAGATATATATGTATCTCGTCGCGTCGTCGTGTTGCATCGATATGCAGATGCAACGGGCGGATGCAACGGGCGCGACACGGAAGAGCGAGATCAACGGGTACATCATCGTCAACGAGAGCCTAACGCGCTAACTTCATTAATTGCTCCCTATTTTTTTCATCAGACGACCGCTCGGAAGCCTATAATGACGGGGTGTGAGACAAACCGGAAGTCAACAGAATGAAAAATGACGTTCGGCGTGATCCTCGGCGGGCCTGATGAGAGAAAGTGCGGTTCATCTCGAGGCTGCAAGCCACTTGCGTTTCCACGCTCGAATGCAAAGGGAAACGGGCGTGGCGCAATTAAACGAATGAATATATGACAGGATATTAAACTTGAGATTTGTCTAAGGAGAAAAGAAAGAGCTCGAGTCTTAAATACATAATTTAACGTCTATTACCGTCTATTTATCTATTTTTTATAATAAGAGTATAGTACTCTAGATCAAACCTTTCTCCTCTTCCGTGTAATTTCTAAATAGAGGAACGACTGTTATCTTACGACGGTCGATTTAAATTTGCCGGAATTTATCCTCTTGACATTTTTAAATGTTGATAATTATGGCGAGTTAATATCCATTCCGTAGATTAATATTAATTCTGGTCCCGACTTCAATTACCGATTAGTTCCAGAATATAAAAGGGAGACGTAACGAGATATCCTATAATGAGCTCGTGAAAATGTCAGAGTGCTATATTAAAATAACAAGACCGGTTTCGCGATGTTCAATCAATCAAGACTTTATTAGAAACGTCAAATGCTAGGACGATTGATGTCGCTGGTCGAAGATCGAGAAGCATTAATGGAATTGACGGAAATGTACGGCGACGATTAACGGCGCGGGAAGCGCGGCTCGTGTAATTGTAGGAAATACAACAAAATTTAACTGCGAGAGTGAGTGTTAACTAACAACGTGACGTCGCGGAATAAAGAACACCTGCGCTTTAGTAACGCGCACACGCTTTCGCAACACGCGGCGAGAGGACGTGCAGCGATGACGGAGGAATAACAATATGCTGTATAAAAAAAAAACAGCTTTCGTGGAGGCGCATCCGCTAACGCTGAATGATTGACACGAGAAACGGTGGTAATGTCACGCCGACTACTGCACTACGATGATGTATTTATACCGCGTATACCCACTTTCCATCAACGTTAATTATAATCTTGGTTTAATTTACTCTATATTTTTTTTCTAATTTTTCAAACTTAAAAAAAGGTATGAAATTAAAATAGCAGAACGGAGAATGAAGAAGATCAACCGCTCGGCGAGTTGGATCATAGGAGTCTGACAATTTTTCTTTCATTGAATTTGAATATATATAAATTTAGATATTTTATTATTATATATATATATATATATATATTTATATATATATTATATATATATATTTATATATATATATATATATATAATTCGAAAAAGAATAATTGTCAGACTCCCAAAATCGAGTTCGCCGAGCAATTGCCTTCTCCATTCTTTCTTCTGTTATTTGAAACTTAGCATAGTATTGTTTATAAAAAATTAAACTGAGATTACTACATTGGTAGAAATGATAAATGCACATAGCAGGATTACACGCGCAATTCTCACGATTAGTCGCGATCTTACACTTGACCGTTTTATTCCGTGCAATTTCGATTAAATACATATGCGTGTTCCGGAGAAGTCATTTTTCCTGACTGAGAAATGAAACGGGAATTACATCGAAAATAATGGCCGTTATTGTAGTTATTGTACCGTCAAGGCCGTAGATGGTATTTAAAACGCATGACTTTGGAAAATGATCTCAAGGCCAGCGCGAAGCGTAGGACATGTTTTTATCTAATCATTTTTCGCGACAGAGGAGTTTGCCTTCTTCGATCCGGACTTCATCGTGAAAGCTTAGCAACAAGGACGCACTGCCGTTTTGCAGCGAGAAAGATATATCTCTACGATAATAATAAATATGAAGGGCACATAAAAGTGGCTTACGAGGCTTTTACGTTTCTTTACGAGCCGGTTTCATTTCCATTTCTACGTTCCTTCAATGACTAATCCATGGCGTTGCGAACGATTGTTTGACATTTGTACGAGATATTCGCTTCATTTATCAACAAGAAATTAAATTATTATTGTATTATTATATCCGCAAATACCAATTATTACATTTAGTTGTTATCATTATCAAATGGCTCTCGATACTAAAATTCATTTAATTCCTATGACCAATTGAGCTTCGCATTAAAACAAAGAGAACATAAATCTTGCCGTCTGGGATTAACAATTTATTGTACACCCTTTTTCCTCCATGTTAAGACACATTGCTTTTAATTTCGACAGAAGCTTGATAAATCGTCCCGCGCGTTAATAGACATTTCGCGGACAGAAAGAAAGAAAAAACAAAGGCGGCATAAATGAGATTGCAGATTACGCCTTCGTCGACGATTGCGCAGTGCGTATTATTATCGCAATTGCTAAAGTTGCAACATGCTTGTTGCAATGTGAACATCCAAATGGAAGTCAGAACTTAGTATATCGTGTTAGATTACGACTGTTAATTTAAAGAAACGGAATGGCAAATGCCGGTTGTCGTAAATAACAGCTGATTAATCATTAGAAGAAGAAGAAGAAGAAAGAACGGGATAAAATATTTACAGTTAGAGGGAAGTTTACAGGGAAGCTACAGTTGCCAACATTTTCTACAACGTAAAATAATTTGAGGCAAACGTACAATTTAATATTAAGAAGATAAGATAAGCCTGTAATTGAATTTTCGAAAGAAAAATTGTTTCCAATAAAAAAGTGAGTGGAAAGGATTGATTTTGTAAAAAAGAGGAAAGAAAACAATTTTCTAATCTAGATCCACTTATACGTTATGTGTTTGTATCACGTATCTACACGTATCTACACGATTATCGAGAAAATTATCCAAGATAAAAATTACAAGTGGAACGATGTAAAGTGAGACTACTTCAGATTCTTATCGAGTATTAGCGATTTAATCATTATCGGAGCGATGCACGGGCAATTTAAGCATTATCGGAGCGATGCACATGAAATTCCGCGTCTTATTAAGAGTTCCTCGTAAATATCGCGATCAGAAATGGACCCCCCTCCCGCAGCGTCGCATTTCTTTATGATGATTAACAAGACGGATGAGTCAGTGTTCGATGCCTCAAGTTCGACGACCGACCGGTTTATCCTTTATTTGAAGGCGAACGATACAAACATCGCACGAAATTTGTTTGGAAAAGATGTGAAATAAATTCGCTTGTCTTCTGAAATATTTCGTATCGATATATCAATACTTGCTCTTCCAAAAGAAAATTGATTGCTTCAAAATCGATTTTAAACTCGCTTCTTACGTGATTTATCGAATATATATAAATACATAATCGCGAAGCAAACCTGTCTTTTTCTCTTCGTCCAATGATATCGATTAGATAGGTCCATAAACCATGAGTTCCACAAACTGTCACGTTATTAGAAATCAATGAACAAGAACGGCAAGTTTGCATAGATAGCATAATAGAAAATTATTAATATCAGCAGTACGAACACTCGACACGATGATTCCGAGTGATTTGATAGAAATTGCAATTTGAAACACGCAACTCGGCCGAAAACGTGAAATAATGGATATGTCAGTCATTTATTATTTTATCGGTAAATTATTAATACTAAGAAGATTCGAACGCCCCAATTCGACAAATTAAGAAAACACGATAATTACATTTAGCGCACTTCCAATCTGTCACGGTGAAAAGATTAAAATATGGCACAGCTAAACCTGGAGCAGAGACTTAAAATAATGTGTTACCATGAGACACACTTTAGATAATCTCCGTGAAAGTCTTCTTGTCTCTTCGCTTACGTAATGACACAGCTAACGGAGGTGTGACGATCGAACAAGACTCAAGAGCAAGAGAAATGAAAAAATTAAGAAAGAAGGAGAAAGAAAACGGAAGAGCTTGTTCTTAAGGAAGAGCTCCTTGCTTGAATACGAAAAGGAGTACACGTGACTGTAAAATAAAGTCACCTCGTGATTTACAGGAAAAAAAATATAATTTGATTTTGATTCGAGACTTCGGAATCGATAGAGAATCTCGGAACGATGTCACAGGTAAATTGCATCCATTTGCACGTAATGCCTTGTAATGAGTCGGAGAATTTATCAG